GTTTAGTGGAGTCATTTTTTTTTTGTCTGGCATTTTGAGGGATGAATGTGGCTAATTAGCTGATGAGAATATAGGTGGTTTTAGTGCTTACCACCTGTTCGAAATGTCCACAGAATGTTTCGCCGGAAAACTCGACTTCGAACTGGGATTACCGTCTGGCGATTTTTCAGCGATATTTTCACAACAAAACCTTCCATTCTCTCGATAACCAGACAAAAAGTAAACACGGAAGGTTCTTTTCTTTTCTTTTGGAAGTTGACACTCATCCCCACTTTTTCAGCTATTGAAAAGCATCTGGTATTTTTTATGGGTGAATTATTTATCAATGTCAATCTTTTATTTAAAAGCTAGAAAATTTGAGATCATTAAAAAAAAATTCTTCATGTAAATCAATTTTTTTCTTCTGCAAATTTTCGAACGGGAGGCAGGCATTAAAATCACTCACATTCTTATCAGTTTAGTAGCCACATTCAGCCCTCAAAATGCCACACAAAAAAAAATAACTCCACTAAACAGGCCCTATCTCACAGTCTATAACCACACAATCTTGCTTTGAATCTTGAAATTATTTCGTCTGATTTTCTCTTAGCTTTGAACACCCACTACGAATCAATTTTTTTTCCTCTTCTGGCAATTCAACCATTCTCCACGTTTTATTCCTCAATAGTGCTTGAAGTTCTTCATCTATAGCTTTTGTCACTGAACTTTTTCTTCAAATGTTACTGAGTCGCTGTAGGTCAGCCGAATATACATTTCTGTGAAATTTACCTCGTAGTTTTGTAATCGTGCTGGTAAACGAATATTTCTTCGAGGTCGTAAGTTTGGTAAATTCACTTCCGGATTCTCCTGCTCATTTACTTTGCCCTGTTCATTATCTTGCATTACTTCATGATCTCTGCTCTATCAAATACTGTGACTTCGTATCACTTTCTATTTCAAGTTTAAATGAGCTGTTCTGTTCTTCATTCGGTTTGACATTTTTAACTCTCTCATTAGAAACAACATTTCTTGAAATTGTTATTCTCTGTGTTTGTTAATTAAATAATCTGTAGTTAGTCCAGTTTTTATCATACCCAACAAACATTAGCCTCGACATTAGCTTTTGATTCTTTGCATCAAGTTTTCTTCGTTTCTGTTCTGGTAGGTACATGTAGGACATATTGTGACAAAATTGAGATGTTATTGATATTTTGGTAGCGTGAATAATTAATTCTGTCACATCTTAAAATTTGAATGAATATTTCAAAATTTATCAACTTTAGAAAAAAGTGTTCAATGCGAAACTTCCAAGATTCTTTCTTCTCTACAAAATGGCGTTTGTTATCTTCACACAGCTTCTAGATGTGTTTACATTTTACCTCAGAAGCTTTATATCTCGGAAACAAATTAAAAATTTGCAACCCTGTGAGCTTACCTCCAATGGATATTAAAATCTGTCATTAGTATTTAATTTACCCGACATCATACCTCCTGTTTCGGAGAGAGTAATAGTAGTATCACTTAAAACGGACAGTTAATTTTTCATCTGTGAGTATGTCTATGAACATTTCCCTCTGATTTCTTACATTGGTTAGACCAGACATACTTTTCCAATGGTTGATATGTATTATGAGATTTATAAGTTAAAGTATTTTCTTCCAATTTAGTACTACTCTTGTCACCAGTTTAGTACTTTCGCCTGGTCTAGGGCTTCACGGGGCCCCCTGCAACTGTGGGCCCTGCGGGCCCTTAGTTACGCCACTGGAACAGATCAAGAATTCGTTGAGACTTTGCGACTTAATTTTCCGGTGATTACCTACTCGTGGTAAAATCTAGTGAGAAATTGGCGATAACTGAAGTTATGTGGCCTCTACATCTGCTTAAATAATCGAAAGGAACTACCCTCTGGGTACTTACTACTTTAGAAGCCCATTGGCTCCTCTAAGTACCGGGCTTGCGAGATTCGAGGATATCCACCCTCTTAGCTTTCAGCTTTGGTTTCTTGCCGTGTTTCTATTGGTTCTCAAGTTTATCCAACCTTCCCCATCCAAAGTGCTTAACCCTGTGATCCAGTTTGATGGTTATCCAACAGAGTTCGCTAATCACATGTTGTCATAGTTATTTATGTATCAAGGGAATTATGCAGGTGTTAATACCCCAGGGCAACGTTTGTGTCCCGAGGGCCTCCGGCCCGAGGGACACCAATTGCCCGTGGGTATTAACTCCTGATAATTCCCGTGGTACATAGATAATTTTATATCCTACTGAATTTACTGTATTCTGTCTATTTTTATAAAGGAATAAGCCATAAATCAAAATTTCTATTTTTTGTCAAAGTGTTACCTATTCAAGGTAAAAGCGGGAGTTATGGAAATCCTTAACTCCCTTGGGAGTTATGATATCCTTAACTCCCTTCCTTAACTCCCTTGGGAGTTATGAAAATGCTTAACTCCCTTGGGAGTTAAGACCCTGTTTATGATTATCGTAACCAAGGTATTATATGGTTTTAATAGTTCAGTAGGATATAAAATTATTAATTGAACATTTACTGTTTTCTCTTTTAATTGAAAATCTTTCCCTTTTCTAATTACCTAATTGAATGTATAAAATAATGGTTCCCTAATTTCTATCCTAATTAAATATATAGAATAAAAGTTCCATAAATTCTAACCTAATTAACAAGGGTGTGAAATGATCAAAACTCTCTAATGAACTAAAATCTTTACTAATATAATAATAAAATAATTGAATAATTACTCCTATCTTAATCTACCTATCTTAATTATAATTAAGCATTTGACTATAGTAATAACCCTTGATAATTATATTATTATTATACAATTGGTTATTGCATCTTAAAAATCCAGCTCATGTAATTATTGTTTCACTACACACACATATGCTTCGAATATAATATATCATTCTGACATCTGGATTCGTTATAAAACGTGGGTCAGAGATTGTTCTTGACTTTGAATAAATTATAACAGCCACATGGGTCTGGTTCAGTCGAGAGATTAGTTTAAAGTTTAGTGTTTATCTTGGAAAACAAATGTTGCTTATATATTTTTCAATATTAGATTACAGCAATAATAATCTTGAAGCTATAAAATTCGATACTTTTCTGGCTCAAGTGCTTTTTTTTACCCTCGAACAGATTAGGCCTTTCGCAGAACTCCATGTGCTTGTAAATTTCATCATAGGGTCACATTCTAGCTATCTATAAAAATAAAACTTTTCCCAGCATATAAATTTGTTATTGATTTTGTTACAATATGCATCACACCTAAATATTCTGATATGTTCAAGTACTAACTTCTGCCTTGTCCACATTTCATAGGGTATAGAGGCAGATGCTTGTGTTGTTGTAATTCTATTTGCTATGTATATGGCAATACTTACAGCCTCTGCTCATAGGTATTTTGGTATACCTACCTGCCTGATATAACATCTCAAGAATCAGTCTATCATCTAGTTCTGACCTCCCATTTTGTTCCGATGTGTATGGTGCGGTTTTCTCTTGTTTTATTCCTTCTTGTTTGATATATTCCTCAAATTTCTTGTTTATATATTTGTAGAGTGGTTTTCGTCCAGAAATATTTTAAATAAAAGGTAGCCAGGAAAAATATTGCGAACATATCTGCTATTTCTTTGGGATTATGGGACACTAAATCATTAAACCTCATCTGGCTTGGGTACCCAACAACATTTCTTTTTGACTTTAAAGTTATTGTAAAAATTTTCTGATTTGATTGTAATCTCAGGTTTTTATATTTAGTTTCAAGAGATGATTGTTTTTTCTTAATTCACTGTAAACATTGTTCTTACTTTCAATGAGATTGATTGTTCTTTTGAAAAAATAATTTGAAAATTTGTTATTATTAATAACACACAGTTTTGGCAAAGAATTCCTAGGTGGTTTGCCCCTATCTTTAGCAATTTTTCTCGCAATTTTTATTACATTTTCTCTCATTTTTTCCAACAAATTTTCCACAACTTCTTGTTTCCATATCTCAATTTCCATTAAATTTTCTATCAATTTTTTTATGTTTCAGTTTTAGTCTCTTCCAGGCTCTTGAATATCTATTTTCTACAAATGTTTTTATTCAAGGGCAATTCAAGAGCCTGGAATAAAGAAAATATTCGTATTTCTCTTTGTAAACCCAGTCAACCACCGATTTCTCCTCAATTTACTTTCTACATTTTCTTGAATTTTCTTCCTCATTTCCGTTTCTTTCTTTAGGAGCCTGGAATGAAGAAAACTTTTTTCCATTCCCCTTTTCCATTTCTCCACTTTACTGTTTTCACTCCAATACCTTTTTTCAGCTCCTTTTTCAATTTTTCCTGTCTGCCATTGTTATTTTTCCGATTTCCTCCATCGCTCTTTTTCTTGATAGCTTCTTTCCCCTTGTTGTATTTTCATCTTTCAAAGAAAAATCTCTCCATTTTTCAATGGGCAAGAATTTCTATGTTGTCTAATTTGAGCTTTATTTTCTAATGATCTTTTTCTCAAATTTTTTTTCCAGTTTTCCTACTTATTTGTTTCAACTTTCATAAAAAATATAGAACATGGGTACCTCTATATCTAGACTAAAATTAATTCCAAAAAAAAAATCGCCCACCCAGTTGCTCATAACGAAAACCAACATAATTAACACAATCTCTGGATGACTGATGTTTTGCATAAAATCGTCTCGATCGAACAAAATCGTGATTTTCTTGACACGAAAACCTAATTTACATAATAATTTGACGATGATGTTGAAGACAGAACACAATTGAAGGTCGAGGTAGATTTTGCAGCTCCAGTTTTCACTGATTGTATATCTATTAATATTTTTGCATAAACAATTCAAATTATTAGAGATGTCCTTGACCTGAAAAGATAAAAAATGCCATTGATTGATTTCCAGGATATGTCGAAACAAATTAGCCAAATATAATTAAACAATTAATGATTTCAATCTCAAAACAGAGGAAATTAACTTGCTAATTTATTTTTTTTATGAATTAATTTTCAGGTGGTTTTCATAGGTGAAAATCCAAATTACGTCCCATTGCCATCGTTGAGAACCAGAACGATTCCTCCTGTTGCAGGCGAAGACGAAACCGATTGGCAAAACCCTTTGGATAACTGGGACCGAGAGTACCGAAGAGTTCGGTTTAATAATACCAGAGTACAACGTAAGTACCTAATCAACAGGCCTAAAGCTAATTATTTACTGTTACTGTTTTCAACCATCGTAAATCTGTGCTGAACCAATTCTCTCGATTCAGTGAGTAATATGCAAAGCTATGCCGGACCGATATTTTACCGCAATCCAACAAAGGAGCAGCCGGGGCTTTTGTCTTTATAGCAAATTTGTGCCATTTGGTGTATGCCCCCCCTTGAGAGAATAAATGATTGAAAACCGCAAACTCGACGAAAATTGACCGTGTGAATATTTTGGTTCTATAATGGGGCCTAAATATAAACCAAAACAAACCTATCCACTATAATGAGAGATAAAAATACTTGTACTTACTAAGAATTCTTTTAAACAAATACATACTTCAAAAGCAATCAGTTGAAATTGGATATATTTTTTCCATTTTTGGCTTTAGATTTTTCTTAATATGGGAAAAATTGAAATAGAAAATGGGAAATGGTGAAACGTTTACAAACACTATAAGTGTGAAAAAACTATTGATGGAAACAGAAAAAAATCATAGTCCAGTGATTCCAAATTGAACCTCCAAGATCCCCGGATTTGACTGAATTGGATTTTTATTCAACCTTAAAGTCAAGAGCCTAGAATAGAGAAAATAGTTATACAACTATCCTGTCCTACCCTGGGTCCTTATTCTCAAAACCGAGGGACAGTGTTCTCATGAGACCGTTTGCTCTGTCTTTATCAGTGTTATGAAGATATGAATATGGGCGACGAAGAGAGAATCTTCGTTTGTTCTTCTCGAGGCTGTTCCCCTGTTTCGACAATCAAGACCCTATGGTCAACCAATTTCTTTTCAATTTTTGTCTATTCTTGGTTCTTGAACTTCTATTTTCTTCAAATTTGCCTAAATTAAGAGAATTTGAGAGTTTCAAAAAGAGAAAACACAATTTCAACCAATTTTCATTAAATTTTCTATTATTATTCCGTCTCAATTTTTATCTTTTCCCAGCTGTTGAAGTTCCTGAGCAACCAATTTCTACTCAATTTTTCCTCAATTTTCTCTTCTCGTTTCTCAATTTTTATTGAATTTTCCCTCGGTTTCAATTTTTATTCTATTCCAGGCTCTTGAACTTCTATTTTCATTGAATTATCCCAAATTGAGAGAATTCATTATGAGCCTGTAATTGAAAAAATAGGTACTTCAATTCCTTTAAAAGTCAACCATTTTCTTGTCAATTTTTCCCCAATTTCCTCTTTTTATTACTCCTGAATCTTGAATTTCTGGTATCTTCATATTTCTCTAAATAAAGAAAATTCGAAAGCCTTCTTAGAGAAAAAGTAGGTAGTTCAATTCATTAAAAGTCAACCATTTTCTTCTGAATTTTTCCCCAATTTCCTTGGCCCGTTTCTCAGTTTTTATTAAATTTTCCCTCCGTCTCAATTATTATCTATTCCCGGCTCTTGAATGTCAATGTTTTTCGAATTTCTCTAAATAAAGGGAATTTGGGAGTCTAGAATAGAGAAAATACTTCTTTTTCTTCCCTTCCTAATCGACCGATTTATTCACAACTTTTCCTGCATTATCCATTTTTCAGTTTTTCTCAAATCTAAATTTTTTTGTTCGCGGTTTTTTAATTTCTATTTTCTTGATTAAGAGAATTCGAGAGTCTGAAATAAAAAAAAAAACACTTTTGTCCCTTCCTAGTCAACCAATTATTTCTTCTCAATTTTTTCTGAATTTCGTCTTTCCATTTCTCAGTTCTTATTCAATATATCTCTATTCTCGGCTCTTGAATTTCTATTTTCTTCAAATATCTCTAAATAAAGAAAATTTGAGAGCCTGGAATAGAAAAATACTTCGATTCCTTCATAGTCAGCCACTTTCTCAATGTTTCCCAAATCTCTTTCCATTTCTTAGGTTTTTTGAATTCCCCTTTTGGCTCAATTTTTTATCTATTCCCGGCTCTTGAATTCCTATTTTCTTCAAATTTTCCTAAATTAAAAGAGCTCGAAACTCTCGAAAAAAGAAAGCATACATGTCAACCAAATTCTCTTCAATTTTTCCTCAATTTTCATTAAATTTTCTATTATTTTCTAAGGGGGATTCAACTGAAGATATTTGGTGTACAGACAGGGCCAAGGATAACCGAAAATAACTTGGGATTCTGGAGATAACCGAGGAAAATCGGGAATTAGAGGATAACCGGGAATAATCAAAGGGGAACCAGAGACAACCACAAATGATAATCGGGGATAACCAGGGCAAACTAGGGAAAACTAGGGATAACTAAGGATGACTAGAGATTACTGGGGATAATCTTGGAGTAGAGAGGATGTTCTGTTTCAATTTTTTGTCTATTCCCGGCTCTTGAACTCCTATCTCCTTCAAATTTTCCTAAATTAAAAGAATTCGAGAGTCTTGAAAAAAGAAAGCACATATTATCTATATCACCTTTCAATGCTATTTGATAGGGAAAGGTGATAAATTTACCTGTACCTTTGGACTAGAGATTGTGAATAGGATATTTATGTCAACCAATTTCTCTTCAACTTTTCCTCAATTTTCAATAAATTTTATATTATTTTTCTGAGGGGGATTTCACTGAAGATATTTGATATACATGGCCAGGGATAACCAAAGATAGCTTGGGATTCTGGGGATAACCGAAGAAAATTGGAAATACTTATAATTAAGGAATAACCGGGGATAATCAAAGGATAACCGGAGATAAACCCAAATGATAACCGGGGATAACCATGAATGACTGGTGACAACCATGGATGGCTGGTGACAACCAGGGATGACCAGAGATAACTGGTTATACACTTTAAGGAGGAAGAAATTTCTGTTTCAATTTTGGGATTCTGGGAATAACTTGCGATTCTGGGGATAACCCGAGATAACCGTGGAAAACCGAGAATAATTATAATTAAGGGATAACCGGGGATAATCAAAAGATAACCTGAAATAATCGGGAATAACCGGGGATAATCAAAGGATGGCCGGAGATAGCCAGGGATAACCAGGAATAACTAGAGATAACCAGGGATAAAAAGAAATTACTGGGGATAAACTAGAAGTAGGAAAGAAGTTCTGTTTCAATTTTTGTCTATTCCCGGCTCTTGAATTTCTATTTTCTTCAATTCTTCCTAAATTAAAAGAGTTCGAAACACTCGAAAAAAGAAAGCACACATGTCAACTAATTTCTCTTCAATTTTTCCTCAATTTTCATTAAATTTTCTGTTAGTGTTCCGAGGGGAATTTCTCTGAAGTTATTCGGTATACATGGCCAGGAATAACCGAAGATAACTTGGGATTCTAAGACCCAGTTTCACAATTTGTGGTAACCTGCACTGGTTATCAAACTCATAGTTACGGGTTGACTACATTGAATACTCTGAAGCTTGATCAATGGTTTTGGCCAAACCACACAATATGAAGCAGATTGTAGGTTACCAGTGTCTTGTAGTTACCGTTGGATTACCACTGTTTGTAAAACTGGCCCTAAAGATAACTGGGCATAACCCGGGATAACCGAGGAAAATCGGGATTAATTATAATCAAGAGATTACCGCGGATAATCAAAGGATAACCGGAGATAATCAAAAGATAACCGGAGATAATCGCAAATGATAATCAGGGATAATCAAAGGATGACCGGAGATAGCCGGGAATAACCAGGGATAACTGGAGATAGTCAGGGATGACCAGAAATAACTGGGGATAACCTTGCAGTAGAAAAAAAGTTATGTTTCAATTTTTGTCTATTCCCGGCTCTTGAACTTCTATTTTCTTTAAATTTTCCCAAATCACTAGGATTCCAAAGTCTCGAAAAGAGAAAGCACACATGTCAACCAATTTCTTTTCAATTTTTCCTCAATTTTCAATTTTTCCGAGAGGGATTTCACTGAAGGTATTTGGTGTACATGGCCAAAAATAACCGAAGATAACTTGGGATTCTAAGACCCAGTTTCACAATTTGTGGTAACCTCTGGCCACTGGTTAACAAACTCATAGTTGCGGGTTGAATACCCTGAAGCTTGATCAAGGGTTTTGGCTAAACCACACATTATGAAACAGATATATTTGTAGGTTACCAGTGTCTTGTTGTTACCGTTGGGTTACCATTGTTTGTGAAACTGACCCTAAGGATAACTGGGGATAACCAAGGAAAATCGGGAATAATTATAATTGAGGGATAACCGGGGATACTCAAAGGATATCCGGAGATAACCGCAAATAATAATCGGGGATCATCAAAGGATGACCGGAGAGAGCCGGGGATTACCAGGAATAACCAGAGAAACTGGAGATAACTAGGGATGAACTTGAGGTAGGAAGGAAGTTCTGTTTCAATTTTTATCTATTCCCGGCTCTTGAACTTCTATTTCCTTTAAATTTTCCTAAATTGAGAGAATTCGGAAGCCTCGAAAAGAGAAAGCACACATGTTAACCAATTTCTCTTAAATTTTTCCTCAATTTTCGATAAAACTTTTATTATTTTTCCGAAGGGGTTTTCACTAAAGATATTTGGTGTACATGGCCAGCGATAACCGAAGATAACTTGGAATTCTGGGGATCGCCGAGAAAAATCGGAAATGATTATAATTAAAGGATAACCGGGGATAACCAGGGATCAATGGGGATGACCAGAAATAACTGGGAATAAACTTGAAGCAGGAAGGAAGTTCTGTTTCAATTTTTGTCTATTCCCAGCTCTTGAACTTCTATTTTCTTCAAATTTCCCTAAATTAGGAGAATTCGAAAGTCTCGAAAAGAGAAAGCTCACATGTCAATTAATTTCTCTTCAACTTTTCCTCAATTTCCATTAAATTTACTATTATTTTTCCGAGGGGGATTTCACTGAAGATATTTGGTGTACATGACCAGCGATAATCAAAGATAACTTGAGATTCTGGTGATAACTGAGAATAGCCCGAGAAAAATCGGGAATAATTATAATTAAAGGATAACCGGGGATAATCAAAGGATAACCGGAGATAACCGCAAATGATAACCAGGGATAACTGGGGAAAACTAAGGATGACCAGAAATAACTTGAAGTAGGAAGGAAGTTCTGTTTCAATTTTTGTCTATTCCCAGCTCTTGAACTTCTATTTTCTTCAAATTTCCCTAAATTAAGAGAATTCGGAAGTCTTGAAAAAAGAAAGTTGTCAACCAATTTCTCTTCAACTTTTTCTCAATTTTCATTAAATTTTCTATTATTTTTCCGATGAGGATTTCATTGAATATATTCGGTGTTCGCATGACCAGCGATAACCGAAGGTAACTTGGGATTTTAATCAAAGGATAACCGAAAATAATCGCAAATGATAACCGGGGATAACCAAGGATAATTGGGGAAAACCAAGGATGACCAGAAATAACTGGGAATAAACTTGAAATAGGAAGGAAGTTCTGTTCCAATTTTTGTCTACTCCCGGCTCTTGAACTTTCATTTTCTTTAAGTTTTCCTTAATTAAGAGAATTCGAAAGTCTGGAAAACAGAAAGCACATACATATCCACCAATTTCTCTTCAACTTTTTTGCAATTTTAATTAAATTTTCTATTATTGTTCTGATGGGGATTTCACTGAAGGTATTTGGTGTACATGGCCAAGGATAACTGAATATAACTTGGGATTCTGAGGAGATAATTAATGGATAACCGGGGTTTACCAGGAGATAACTAGAAACGTTAGACAGATATTAAAAAATATTTTAACAATAGAAGAGGACCATATTCCAGCAGATAGTTGAGGGATAATAACGGATAACAGAGGATAACTGGGGATAAACTTGGTATTTTTCAGTCAACAATTTTCTCTTTTACCGGCTCTTGAAGTTCTGTTTTCCACAAATTTCTCCCAACAAAAGAAATTCAAGAGCCTGGAATAGATAAAACAATGCATTTAGAGTATTTTCTTCTCAAGATCAAACAATTTGAAAAGTACAGAAGCAGATTCTCAAAGTCCTTTTTGCAGAAATCGCACAAAGGAACCGATAATTATTGGATTTCTGGGTTCACAAATACTGATAGATTTTAGGTCTATCAAGATTTAAACCAAATCGTTGTTCAGTGATTTCAAATTGGTTACCAAGTTGTCCAGTTTTTTACTCTCATGTTAAGGGCCAAATTATGGATTGACTGGTAAACGTCTCATTGTTACCTAGCAGGTACTTTCTATGCACTAGAGAATAGGAAGTACCTGCTAGGTAACAACCAGACACTTAGCAGTTGGTCCATAATTTGGCCCTAAATCATTTTTGAAAGCCTTTGTGAAAATACTTCAAGCAATCAGAACAATTTGAAACGTGCTCAAACATTGGTAAATGATTCATTTCATGCCAGTACAAATCAAAAGGGGTTATTGTTTCAGGAGTCTTAAATTACTGAGGTGAAGAGTGTCTTAAATCACCTCATGTATATAGAAGAAGAAAAGGCAATTTGCTAAAAGGTTATTGAATGAATTGAAAAGAAACGTAAAAACATCGTTTTGAAATTGATAATTTTCTTATAACGAAATATTAGTTTCCTATTTCTGCCATTTGATTTGGAAAACCAATTTAAAACCGTTTTTTTTCTCACAGGAAACAATGTAGCAAGTATTAAACATTGATATTAAATGATAATATAACAAATAGTGCAGAAACGGAGGAAGTAAAAAACGCAAGAACCTTGTGGGTGGGCAAATTATTTTAATAAAATCTTCATCCCATTCTTTTTTTCAAGAAATTAAAACACAATACATAAAACTTAGGTAAACAGCCGTTTCCTTTGTTTTGTTACGTAAGGCTTGAGGCACTTAGTTCCAACCAAGTAAACTGAAAAGTGACCGTAAGTTGATGTATGGGTCAGATAAGAATCCCCATATACTGACCTACTTTATGTCTTAAACTTAATTGTTCATTTTAATTTTTGCAGATATTGAAGCTGAATGCCAGGACGACTACATGAAAATACGTGTCGGTTTCAACGGGACGTTTGCTGGTTTAGTTTATTCTGCAGGTAAGAATTGTCCTATTAACTCTGTTATTATTCTACAACATTAAGATTGTATGTAGAGAATTTGACTTCTGCTTTCGAGGCGTTTCGGCTCGCCCCCGCATTAATGTATGCTAGTAGATCAACATAGGCCTTTTAGGCATGAATAACTGGGAAAAGATTTCAGCCTTGAAAGGTATGCCTTATATGTCCGTTGAGGAGAATGATTCTGACACATTCAGGTTGAAAAATGCCCTTTATAACGGCGTCTAACATGAAGATTTTTTGCTGCAGCTTCCGTAAACCTATATTTATGCGTTTATAACTTGGCAATGACTTTGATCGGATTGATTAGTTCACTTATATTGATTTAGTAATTCTGAGTTATGGGAGGTCATTTCAAGAGCTGTAATGTAGGTACCTACCTGAAGAGTATCGATGTTCCAATTTTTAACTTTGATATAAGCGAACTCTGCTATCATTAACTCAACCATCATGAAATTTTAATATATTTTAGCTCAAGGATCTTGAATTGGTTTCAAAATTTAGCTTAAAGTTCACATTAAGTTTACCATGCATCATTCAGAATCCAAATCTTTTTTTAAAAACTTCCCAATTATTATTAGCGGCTCCTCTATTGTTCCATCAGCATCAAAAGAAGAAAATCTCACATAATTAAGCCGTAAAACAGAAATCACGGAACGCAACCGCACATTTTATACGACGATGGTGTGCCCTTTATACCGAGTAAACGAGTTTTTTTCTCTTTCAACAATATTGTGAACAAGTTGGCGCGATTCCTTAATTCAGATGGAGATGCTCTCTATTGATACAAACGCTATGGAGTTTTCCCACCATCAGTCGTCATTATGCATTTATGGTGTTCTACATTTTTGCTCTAACACAAAAAGAAAAAAAAACCTCTCACGGATTTGAATTAAACTTGGGATTGATTCGAGTAATTTGCTTACATTGTGTATATGTACGTATATATACGTATGTAATCAAATTTTGTAAAAGAAATTTACTTATTTTTCAGTACCTAATATAAATCCAAATTGGTTGTAAAAGAGATTTGATAGAAATAGCAAGATTTGCTCAGGAGTTTTTGAATAAGTTAATGAAAATCCCATTTGAATTTGAATTGGCATTCAAGTGAAAACATTAAAAGGGAAATTCGCAAATCACAGAGAGAAACTTAAAGACATTTCTGCAGTGATATACAAAACACTACAGCTGCAGCCCGGCTGAAGAAGATGTTTTTCCAAAGACTCACAACCGCTAGGTCTGCTGAAAAAAGAGGATGGTACATATACCACCACTTAAGCTGAAACGACCGAAGTTCTTACAAAGCACATGTTTCCCGACTGTGAGATCTTAGATAACCACACCTGGAATAACCATAGGACTGTCACTCCTACGGAGGTTGATTGGCTGGTGGCTCAGGAAGTGGTTAGTAAATCAAAAGCCGAGGAAGCAATCAATAGCTTCTCTCCATATAAAGCAACAGGGCTGTACGGGATATATCCGGCGCTCCTACAGTGGGGTCTGGATATTATCTTAGACTGTCCAGACCAATTAGTGCTTATTTCCAGAGCGTGTTTTGCTCTGGCATACATACCTAAGAAATGGAGAGAGGTAAAAGTAATCTTTATACCCAAGCCAGGCAAAACTGATTATGCTAGCGCCAATTCATACCGCCCAATCAGTCTTACATCCTTTTTATTAAAGGCTCTTGAAAGACTGTGCGAACGAAACTTAAGGGCACTTAAGGACCCCTTGCACGCGACCCCCTTCACCGAAACCAACATGCATATTGTTTTATTTAATAGATATTCACTTTATACGTTCAATAGATTAAATCTTTATTTCTCAAAAGGGTAACGATGGGGTAACGTAATGAACGTAATTACATATTTTTGTCATGTTATATGACACATGTCATAATTATTCTAGGCACCTGCAGGTGACCATGTTATTGCGTCATGTTACATCTCCCTCTCTATACTAACAATACGTCACTGAACAATGCTAACTTAAAAGAATTAGACTATCCAAGATGCTGTCAAGCTTAAATTAAAATGTCCGCCAAGAGGCACACAAATCCTTTCCCGCCATATTTTGGTTGTCAAAGTCACATCTTTTGGATAGGCTAATAGACTATCCAAAATGCTGTCAAACTCAAATTAAAATGTTCGCCAAGAGGCACACATACACTTTCCCCCATAGAGAAATATAATAAACCAAGGTGAGAGTTACCGATTCTGTGGTCCGACACTGGCATCGCGATGACGTCATATCGATACTAGCGCCACTATCCACTACAAGACCAACTTAAATAACATTTGGCGGACTTTTTGAACTTTTAGATTATAGTCTTGTTATTTTTGAAAGTAGAAATCTAGCCTAGCGTTTTTCCGCAGTCGACAGGAAAAGAAATGCGGGAAAACGCTGGCCTGGAAACAAAAATCAATAATCAAAAAATGTCCATGAATAGTCCAGGAGGTGGCGTCAAAAACATGCAAGAGTTTTCGCAAGGCGGATATTTTCAAAATAGGTCGTACTTTAGTGCTAGAATGCTAGTGTACAGTCAGCACTCTCAGTTCCGGGACAGCTGGCTCTGGGACGCGGGCAAAGTTGTAATTTTAAGAAGCATCTAAACTGTTTTCTCAAAGCTCAAAATTTATAGAAATTTTGCACATTATCTGTTTGAAGGTCACAGATAGCGTATGTAAATCGTCAGACGTCTAGTTCGTTGCAAAAAGGGGGTCAGACGTCCTCAAAGTTTTTATTTTATGGCATTTTCTTCAAATATATTTGTCAAATACCTGCAAAAATATATTTTGACAGGAAACCGAAGAAAATGCCATAAAATAAAAACTTTGAGGTCGTCTGACCCCCTTTTTGCAACGAACTAGACGTCTGACGATTTACATACGTTATCTGTGACCTTCAAACAGATAATGTGCAAAATTTCTATAAATTTTGAGCTTTGAGAAAACAGTTTAGATGCTTCTTAAAATTACAACTTTGCCCGCGTCCCAGAGCCAGCTGTCCCGGAACTGTGAGTGCTGACTGTACACTAGCATTCTAGCACTTAAGTACGACCTATTTTGAAAATATCCGCCTTGCGAAAACTCTTGCATGTTTTTGACGCCAGCTCCCCAACTAGAAGTAATCTGTATATTTTGATCAAAACATCTCACTTTTCACTAATAATAGGTTAGTATTTAATAATTATTATTATTTATGCATGAACTTAACGATTTTGACATTGTAAAATCTTACCAGAATGATGTATTTTTAATAAACTAATTAATTTTTGATTCACTTGACACTTATTTGTGTCAGCTTTGAAAAAAGAAAATGTCATTTTATAGGTTAGAAATCGTTATGTACAGGGTGCTGCAATTTGGAATGTTTCCACAGGAAAAACACACTTCCAGACCAGATAGAGGAAAATTGACTTAGATGTCATGGGATTGATTTTCGAGAAACGGCAATTGTCAAAAACCGGATCACGATATCTTCAATGATACCATTAATACAGGGCGATTTTCGATTTTCCCCTATTATGAAAAATGGCTATAAGTTTTCTATTTATCAATTTTTTTTATTTCTGTAAAAACATTATGGAGACACTTTTTTGAGCATAATCCAGTGGCAGAATCAGTTTTTTTCCATATCCCTCGGATTTCGAGATATCGATCAAAATCCGATATTTTCAAATGAAACATCCTATATATTAATAGCTCATTGGATAGCCCTGTTTTTGCTGATTTGAATGATATAAAGTTCGATGGGTTAATCTCTAACAGTTTTCGAGAAAAAAAATTATATCTGTTTCAGTCATAAGAAACAATGTGTTAGAAAGAGACCTTCCTCATTTTCCTTACACGTATAAAATCCTTTTCTAGCCCATTCGTCCTTACGACAAAAACAGATATAATTTTTTTTCTCGAAAACTGTGAGAGATAAACCTATCGAACTTTATATCATTGAAATCAGCAAAAACAGAGCTATCCAATGAGCTATTAATATATAGGGTGTTTCATTTGAAAATATCGGAATTTGGTCGATATCTCGAAATCGGAGCCACATGGAAAAAAGATGAGTTCGCCACTGGATTCTGCTTAAAAAAGTGTCTCCATAATGTTTTTACAGAAATAAAAAAAATTGATAAATAAAAAACTTATAGCCATTTTTCATAATAGAGGAAAATCGAAAATCTCCCTGTATCAATGGTACCGTTGAAGATATCGTGATACGGTTTTTGACAATTGACGTTTCTCAAAAATCGATCCCATGACGTCTAAGTCAATTTTCCTCTATCTGGTCTGGAAGTATGTTTTTCCTGTTGAAACACTCCAAATTGCAGCACCCTGTACAATAAATAAAAAACCCTATGTCTTCTCTTCGTTTATTATCACATCTGTTCAAAAGAGACAGACATAAAAATGTGAGACGATGTCAGAATTGTCAGATAGTTCCAAGCTATACTAGCGCCATCATGTGCTACAAGAAATACGTTGCCACTTGGCGCATATTATGAATCGGTAACTCTTACCTTGGTTTATTATATTTCTCTATGCTTTCCCCCATATTTTGGTTGTCAAAGTCATGCGTTTTGGATAGTCTAATACACAAAATATCTAACCTAATCTCTAAATTTATTAGGCAGTTTAACATGTCTGCCGAAACGAGTAATGTAATTATCGTTAGTCATATTTGGGTTAATTATTGTCACAAAATAGACTACAATATTTTTGTTTAACGTTACACTCGTATTTTCTACGGTTACACTTGGCTTCCTCTCACAGATACTGGGATATCATCTTGATTCATTGGGACACTCTTTAATACTATTACTATTAGTTTTGATAACATCATTAGAGGTCGAACTTAAGGATACTGGGTTGGGATTATTGCGTAAGAAAGATGAGTTACCTATTACGTCTCAAAATTGTATCAGTCGTATTTTCTCCAACAAAATATGATCGTGGACTTGAATGATTTCCAACAAC